AAGAAGTACTTGTGCTATTGATGTACTTCAGTGGTTTTTATCTTGCCTTCCCCCTCTCCCTTCTCTCTTTAAAAGGCCATCATTTGAAGATAGAAAACGCTTGGGTATGGCCCAACATAGGAAAGGAGGAAACTTCAAATCCAAGTCCAGGTATAGCTCCGTTTACTTTCTTATTCCAAGATACCTTTTTTTCCCATGCTTTTTCTTTCCCCCTCTTGTAATTGTTCAAAAGTCCTTGCTAAAATGTTTGATGGTTCTGCAGTAGTAGTTTACCCTCCTACTGCAGGTCTGTTGCTGTGAGCAATCAAGGATCCTGCCTTTAATAGCACATTCCTAGGCTTCTACTTTGGAAAGCATTACCTAGAAAATGCTGAGTGCTGTTCCTTACCTATCATTGAAGTAACATTCCACCAGCCTAACTCTCAAATACCTTCTCTTTCAGGTACAAGAGAAAGTAAGGACTGTTGGTAATTACCAAATGGGCTATATCAGACATGCTTGCTCCAGGGCCTGAATTTCAAGTTCTGGAATAGCTTTTGGGATGTTTGTTAATACCTGGTTGAAGACTCTGAAAACATCTTCAGCAGCCCATGCAATAAAAGATTGATTCTTTTTATGTTTTTCTAAAGTTTGGTGTTTTATAGGATAGCTAGGACATCTAGGAGCTGGGATATGTTACATTTTTTTATCAGACTTTTAGTTCATGTAAGTCATCTTCAGGGCAAAAACTGGAGAACACTTACTGCTTTGTTCATAGACTTTTGCGATCTCGATTAATTAACATGGCTGAAAAGGATTTCTGTGGCTGAAAGCCCATTTCTAAAATAGGGGAAAAGTTTTGCAGACTACCTAACACAAAAATGGTTTCAAAGGTGACAGTCACAGGAGTTAAAACAAATCTCCAAGAGGTTAGTACCTGAAGAAAGGATTATCTCCAAAGTGTGGGGTGAGGGGTAGGCAGATGGCTTCCTCCTAACTGCCAAGAAAGCAGCTGTAAGCTGAGCCAAGAAGACTACAACCAGAATGGAGGCTGTTTTACATTATTGCATATGTAATTAATTAGAGGTTCGCTCATCCTTTTTACATCCTGGCTTTACTTTTTTACTAGAAGCAATGCAGCTCCACCTATAAAGATCAAGCAAGTTTACTGCAGGCTAATAAGCAGTAGCTTAATGCAGAGCATGAGGCATCACTATTCCTAATATAGGCACCACTGTACTTGTTCCACTGTGACTAAAGCAGGGAGAAGTCTGATCAGTAACCCATATTTAATTTTACTGAAATTATAAATTCTTCCTTTGAATTTTTACCATCTCCAGCATCCCAATGCTTTTTTTTTTTTTTTTCTTTCACCCTCATCAGCCTTGATAAATGTCATTGATAGGCTTTAATTCATATAAGGAACACAGACCAAATACACACCTAAGTGGCTCAGATCAGCTGTCAACTTCTGAGCTGTCAATAGAAACTGAGCATTTTGCATCAAATCCACTCTTCTGGGATGAAGTGCAGTAGTGAAAGAAAATGGCTTGCACTCCTGAAATAGACCGGTGCAACAGTGAGTCTAAGTACTGTGTTTTCCAACTTTATTAAAAAGGGCAAACTTTACAAGCAGTAGATATAAAATATGCGTAGCAAAGTTTTGACAAGTGGTGTACTGTTCCATACATTCTCTTTATCAGTCTTCTCACCGATCAAAAGTACATTACAGAATACCTTACGGCCTTGGTGGACGCATACCAGGTGGAGGGGGTCCTAGGAATAAAGGAAAGAGTTGATGAGAAAAGAAGAAGCAAGGCTAAACACAGGAAAGATGTCTTCCCCATGCTCAAAGTGGCCTTAGGATCCCTTTTTTGGCACTAAGGCATTTATTGACAATTAGCATAGCTAGGGAGGTAGCAAAACCTATCACCTTTCAAACAGTGTATTCACCTTTCCAACAGTTTATTTATGTTATGGTTTGTTAGAGCTTCTAGACCTTTAAGATAACCTCCACTCACCTCTCATTCCTGGGGGTGGTGGTCTCATGCCTGGTGGGGGCATTCCCATAGGAGCACCTCGACCAGGTGGCATTCCCATCGGTGGGCCCATAGGTGGCCTCATGCCTGGAGGAGGTCCCATCATTCCTTAAGCCAGAGAAAGAATAAACATAAATCCATCTCAATATTCAAGACACTAGGTGGATATCGGAATAATCCTCCTTAATAGCAGATCTTCATCAGACTTGGATAAATACCTCTTTATCACCAATTCTGCCATATAACACAAGCTTCTTGCTGCCCCAACTCTACAGAGTGATTCTTACCTGGAGGAGGTGCTCCTCTGCTCATGGGTGGGGGAGGGCCCCCACGCCCTGGTGTGTATTGAGTTGGGGCTCCTGCTATGCTAGCAGTGGCTGCTGCAGCAGCAGCTGCAACCGTTCCACGACCCTGAGGTGTCATCACCTGTAAACAAAATAAGTAAGTTCACAGAGAAACAGCTTTACAGTAACTGAAAAATAAGGAAGATTTAAGTTCCTATCCCTTCAGAAAACCATGCCAGTCTCCTCTTAACATTAAATGATGCTACAAACCTGTAATACAATTCAATGGATACCACTTGAATTCTGGGGAAGAAGCTGCACTTTTCAAGCCTCTTCTTCCATCATGTAAGACAGAGTTCCTAGGGGGGATCTAGTGCCAAAAATGCCTTGCTAGGCCCAAACTCCCTGGTAACAGAAACTAAGATTACAGTTCTTCCACTTCGTCAATTTCTTGCATCACACTGGTACCAAGAATTAAAAGCCACCCCAGAATGTAACAGACAACTCTTTTTAGTGGGTCACAGCATCTCACCTGCTGGGATGGTCCTCCCACTCCTCTGACAGGACCAGCTAATCCTGCTGGAGCCTGTGGCATGGGTGCACCAGCTGGTACTCCCCTCCCTGCTGCTCTCCCAACTCCAGGTCCTCCAGCAGCACCAGCAAGAGGTACACGGGCAATTCCAGTCTGAAAACAGACCCCACCAAAAGCAAGATCAAAACAAAAGTTCTCAGATCTTAAGGATGCCCACAGCCCTCCTTTGTCTAAGCCCACAAAGAGATTAGAACTTCCTGCAGTGAAATTTGTTGGACCTAGTCACAACAGCATCTGGAAGTCTAGGACAATACTGTAGTAGAACTCTCCTGCAAGGAAGCAAATTTATCAGATGTCCCCCTTCTCTTTAGTTCTGTGCTCATTGTCCTTACATCTTTTGGGGGAGGTCCTTCAACTGTCATGGACACAAGGTTTTCTCCTCGCAGCAACACAAGACCAAGGACTCGTTTCTCTTCCCGCTCTGGCTGTTTTGAATTTTTAGGTCTAGTGAGAAGAGAAGGAAAACATTGCAAGACAGAGGAAAAAAAAAACAGTCAAATAAATCAATGCTGGTCTTTGAATTTGCAACAGAATATGACTAGGCTACTCCGGAGAGAACCTACTGTAAACCTCACATTCTTATACGCCTCAAACTAAGTACACAGAGAGGTCTAAACACAAGATGCATATTACCTCCATGACTTTCTCCCCCTGATGCTTAACTGTTACAGTGACTATCTTGGCATCCTGTAAAGGTGTATGTTGGTTATTAGGAAAGAAGTGAAACATAGTGGCCCTTGAACCCTGGTAGTTTGGGGATTTGACAAACGAGACTAAACCCACGACTATTTCCCTGGAAGCCAGCAGCACACGTCACCCAGCAGCTGCGTGCACTCTCCGCGCTCGGCCTGCCCCGGGGCCTCCCACCGCAGCCCCGCCAGAACGGGGTGCAGGGCTGGCGGGGCACCGCCCGGTGCGGGCCGCGCCGCTCACTTTATCTTGCGGAACTCGTCGCAGTCGCAGAGGATGAGGTTCATGTGCTTGTCGAAGGCCTTGAAGGTGCCAATGAAGACGCGACCATCCTGCAGGATGCACCGCATGCGGTAGTCGATGTGCTGCAGCATCTTGCTGCTCTTCCCCACCGTCTGCAAGAGACCGAGCGCCAGGGTAAAGCGGGGCTCGCTGCACCGCGGCCGCGCGGCCCCGCCGGAGCGCCCGGCTCACCATGGCTGCAGCTCTCCGCGACCCCCGCTGCCGCTGCTATTGCTGCCGCTGCTGCCGCTATTGCTGCCGCTGCTGCCGCTATTGCTGCCGCTGCTGCCGCTATTGCTGCCGCTGCTGCCGCTATTGCTGCCGCTGCTGCTGCTACTGCTGCCGCTGCTGCTGCCGCTGCCGCTGTTGCTGCCGCTGCTGCTGCCGCCGGTCCCCGCACACCGCCCGCTCCGCCGGAAGCTCCTACGTGCAGCTGCGCCAACTTCCTCCCGCCCGCACGCGGCTGCCCGCGCCGCGCCGCGCCCCGCCCCTTCCGGCGCGTGCTGGACGCGCTTCCGATGGCGCAGGAGAGGCCCGGCGGGGCGGGGCCGTAGCCCTCCTCACGGTCTCGAAGGGGCGGGTATCGCGCGCGGCTGCGGCGCCGCCCTGGTGTTCCCTGCCCGCCCCGTGCTCGGCGGCCGGCCGAGCTGCAGGGAAGACTCCTCCGCACGAGCCGGGGGAGGCCCGGCCCCGGGCGGTCGCGGCCGGTCCGGAGGCGGGGCGCTGCTGACGCGGGACGCTGCCTGGCGGCCCCGATGGGCGGGCGGGGCGCAGGAGAGGGGGACGCGCTGACGTAATTCTCTGAGGCTGCCGAGGGGGGCCCGGTAGCGGGCTGCGCGTGGGCTGTCACGCGCGAGGGTGGCGGGCCCGGCAGACGGAGCTCATGCCGCTGCCCTGGCGGGCTCGCGCCGCACTGGGGCGGGGTCGGCCGCCCGCGGTCTCCATGGCAGCGCGCTGCGGGCGCGTGACGCGCGTGTCGCGGCCAATCGGCGGCGAGGCGGCTGAGTGACAGCTGGCGGGGCCAGTGGCCGGCAGCGCCTTGGCGGGGCCGCTGGAGCTACCGGGCGGCCGGAGCGCGGACCGGCCGCGGCGGGGCTGGGTGAGCGCAGGGCGGCGGGCGGGGGTGGGGAGCCGCGCGAGGGTCGCGGGGGGCCGGGTAGCACGCCGCCGGCCTCGGCACTGGCGGGCGCAGCCGCCAGTGCTGCCTTCTCGGGCCCACTGCGGCGCCGCGTCCCCGGCCCTTCCCTCCGGCGGCCCGCCCCGCCGCCGGGCTCTGGCCTGGGGTTGCCGGGCCCCCTCTGAGCCCATCCCGGCCTCCAAGTTCCCGTTATGCAGCGGCCGCTGGAGCTACGGCTGTCGGTGCGCGCGGGGCCCGCCGCGGCGCCCCGGCTCCCGGCCGTGAGACCGGGGAGGGGCCGGGGTCGGGCCGAGAAGCTATCCGAGAACGGCGCAGGTCCCCGCTCCCCCAGGAGCCGAGTGGACCCGAGGCGTAAAGTGGGCAGCACTTCGCTAGGACAAAAAACGCTCGGCACCTTAAATTGAGTTTTAGCCCAGGCTTCGGGAGTTGCTGGCTGGCTGGCTGGCTGTTTTCAGCTCACTTGACTGATTAAAAATAATAAAAAAGCAGTTCTCTCTTTTTGCCTGTTGCTATCAGTTTCTGCCTTAGCAAGGAGATGGTCTCTGCCCAACTTTGTTGGAATGTGCCAGATGAGAGTTCAGTGTCATAGGCTTACTGTTTCATGGCTAAACTGGAAGGCCTTTGGAGGAACATAGGATTCCAGAGATGGAGAATCTGAGCCACCTGCTTCTTTAGTTTCTCTGGTGAAGTATGTTTCTCTTTGCTTGTTACGTGAAGTAACATAAAAAACTATACTTAGCCCTCAGGTTGGACTCTGCCATCTGCTACCCTCTTGTGCTGCTTGGTCAGGGAAGCAGTTTTCTCTGCACACTTGTCCATGTAGTCAGACTAATGTCACTTCCACCTATGGTTTGTCCTGTTGGTACCACCACCCGGGGACTTGCTGAGATCTGACCTGGATGTCTTGCCGCATCTACAGCTTTCAGAAGCTGCAGCTACTTGGTTGTTGACCAGGGGATTTTACTAGGCAGCTTTTCACTTTCATGGAATGTTCTTTCATCCTCCTCATTTTCATTCTGTGCGCAGCACACTTTGTTCTCTATCTGTAATGAAAAGAAGATTGAGTTTGTGAATAGGCAAATTCGGTTTAAAATACTCTAGTTGTTTTAGCTTGCAGCTTCTCAGAAGTCTCTTGAATAGTGTTTTATTAGTGGCTTTACTGATTTTTCCTTGCCTTGCATCTACCCCTACACCACTGCTTTGTGTGAAGGAACTGGCTCTGCAGAAGCAGAGTGAATTCATCTTTGATGGATTTCAGCTTGGCTGCTATCTCCCTGTACAAAACTGTGATAATTGCTTACATGCTGTTGTTGAGAAGAATGCGCTGTGAGAGACCCGTAAATGACTGATAATCACGATTATGCAAAATTGCAGTCTGTGCTTCTTCCCAAGAGCTGCTGAACAGTCATTTTATCAGATATATCACTGTTGCACTGCAGAATGTCCATTGTAAAAATTAACATCTGTCACTTCTCTTGTCTGCAGGCACGTAGTGAAATCTTTTCAAAGAATGCTTTTGACAGACAACCATGTGTTAAGACGCTGACCTGAAGTACCCTTTGTATTTGTAGTCCAGTCTTCATTATCCTCTTCTGGAAACCTGCTTCTGCTGAACCACTGATCTGTGTAGGTCCTTCAGAGGGTTGTTTGACCCAGACTGTCTGAAGAGTTTCCTACCGTTTCTAATTTTGAATCCCTACTTCTTTGGGTTCTGCTTAGCCAATTCATTTTGATGTTTTAATCTCTTCCTCTGTAGGCTCCTGTGGTATCTGTTCCATGGTGCTGATGTGCAAAGAAACAGTCCTTAAGCTCTATTTCTTTCACTGCGTATTTGCTGTGCCTTGAATATTGATTGGAATCGGGAACATGGTTTCTACTCATGAGTGGTTGCTCGTTCGTGAAAGAAGTTCGGGGCAGAAATAGTCTAATGTGTCATGATGAGTTACTTTCTGAGTTTGTATGCAGCTGAAAACTTTTCTTGAGATATAAAGGTAGTGTAATACAACTTGGTTGGTTACTGTTTTCAGCAGCAAGGGTATCAGGGGAGCTGCAGGTAGAGTGCATTACCACTAGGAGCTGTGGGCCAACCTCTGCCGTACTTTTTCTGATGAAACGGGAGTCTTTATTTATACGGTACTTAGGAACATGGTTTAGTGGTGGATTTGGCAGTGTTAGGTTTATGGTTGGACTTGATCTTCGGGGTCTTTTCCAACATAAATTACACTATGGTTCTATGGTTTCTGCAGAATTTTCCGTAATATCGTTCTCTTTGTTTTAATGTGCGCTTCCTCTCCCTGAATGGTGCTTATTCTTCACAGGGGAAAAGGCAAGTTAGAGATCTGTAAAGGCTTCTACCTATAGTAATCTGGGCATCTTTGGTTTGGCATATATGAAGTACTGTATTTCCTTCTACTCAGCAGCATCTCGCAAGGTAAGTTGCAGTACAAATAAAAGGCTATAACTGTACTGCAAGGGGCTGAATGAAGAATTGGTAATTAGATGCTAACTACTCATGAGTATATTAGTTAAGAGTTGCAGATTCAGTTCTTAAAACTCAAGGAAGCAATCTTGAGCCTTGCCTCTTCACTGTGTATTTGCTGTGCCTTGAACACTTAATAGATTTAGATGGTTTCTAGTTGTGAGTTGGTTCACTCGTAGGAGAAGTAATTATCTGTTCAGTTATTGCAAGCCAGTCTGATTATTGGAGATGACGTGTGCTTATGCCATATGACTATAAGATTTCTCAGGCTTTCACTTTTAGGACATCACAGACTTTAGTTGCTGAACGGAGCACAGTGAGTAGAAATCACATACCATTTGGGAACTGCCTGTCTATTTCTAGATTTAATGGATGGAAACCTGTATTTCCTGCAGATCCAGGGGTGTCATGCAAATTGGGCACTGGGGAATATGTACAGAGGTATGCTACTGCTTATATACTAGTAATTGCCATAGTGTACTTCAGGATTTAATTGATGAGTTATCCCTGTTTTGAGCTATTGCTGCAAAAGATATTTGTGTATGTGTCTGTAATTCAGGAAAAGGAAGTAAGGAAGACTGATTCATAGTTTTATTAGGTTCATCTATCTCTTTGCAAGACAGAAGGATCGGATAAGCTCCAGATTCTTATGACTGATGCTACAGAGTGCATTGGTTCAGCAGGCTCTCTTGGTTCTGTCTTGTCTCTTTATTACACTGTACTTGGATGCTAGAGAAAGTCAGGTTTTAGGATCAGGAGGGACTCTTCTGAGTTGCAGTGCGGTATGCTTGGCAGACTTCTCATATCCTCAGAAATATCAGGTATTGGTTGTTGACTTGTGAACGGGCTGAGAATAACTGGTATAGGTAGGCTTGCTATGGATACTAACCCCAATAGTAAGCGCTGTACGGCGGGGCTTAAGTCTTTTAAATATATCTGGGTTCAAAGCATTCCTGTCTTTATACAGATTCCTTTGCTCTGCAATGAGGCAAGGTGCTATTCTGATCTTGGGTTCCTTATGCTTTGTTGCCTGAAATCCTAGTTTACTTTGGACAAAAGACCAGCTGTTTCAGGATAAGTGTGGAAGAAAGGAGTAGAGTCCAGTTTGATGATTGTAAGGGGTATGAAAATAGCACCAGCAGCTGCGTGTTTAGGGTTAGGGGCCTCCTGAGAACATACTTGCTGCAAGTTAGCAAGTCTGTCTTAGCAAAGAGTAAATTGTATGTTTCTGTCTTGGAGTGAGAGAATAGAACACTGATAATCAAAATTTGTGAAGAAAGGGGAATATGTTATTACATGCTCATGGGATTTGGAGACTGTTTCCATAGGACAGTATACGCTCAACGCTTTCTGTTTGTGTATTAGCCTAGTTCTGTGGGCTGCAAAGGCTTCTTTGAAACACTAATTTAATTGAACGCTCACATGAGTGGTTTTCCTTTGTGTGACCTCACCTTGTCCAAACTGGCATTTTTTTACCTGATGCACCTTCTCTGAAGGACAGGCTTTCCTGCTTGTTGTCTGGATGAGAGTGGTAAAGTTTTTATCTAGAGCAAATCTTGGAGCAGGAAGGGGCTTGGTTGTCTTCCCTCCAGGATTAGGAAGAAGAATATCAGGTTTTTGTGTAACTGCCTGACTCTTAACTTGTAATTTTGTATGGTAGGAATTGTATAAATGCTTTTCGATCACTGCCCAAGACCTGGCCAGCCTGACTGGTGCACTTAGTGTGTTGCTTTTCTGAGGCCAGCTTTCTTGATCTCTTAGTCTGAGCTAATACTGTGATGCTTCTCTGAAAGGTTGTAGATGTTATTTTAAGAAACTGACGAAGCTGAACCTAAGTTGACTGGCACTTTTCCCTGTGAGTTGTGTTTAGTCTTACAGTCATTTTATGGGTTTTAAGAAAACATAAGCTGTTGTTGGGAGGAAAAGTCCAGGGGTACTGACTGTAACCATCTCTGCTAGTTGGGGTAAGATGCTCATTTTCAGAATATCATGAAATTCCAAATCTGGCTTGCCAGATACTTTCCAAGGGGTGGGATAGTTGAGTGAGCAAAGTCTGGCTGTCATAGGAGTGGAGGAGGATGGTGTTCCTGTGCACATGCAATACCAATCTCCCTTTTGGGTTGACTGAAGCCCGAGATAGCTTTGGAGTTCAGGCTTCCTGGATTCCTGCAGGAACTGCAAAGACCATACACATACTGAGAATAAAGCAAATTGAGCAAGGCAGCAACTTCAGAAGGGCTTCTCGTGTTAAACAATGCTTGTTTTAATAGGCGAATGGCCGATTTCTCTCTCCAGCAAGTGCCTTCATTGTAAGGCAGTTATCTGTGATCTGGTGGAGACTTGAGGGCAAGGCTAGCTGCAGTTGAAAACACTGAGCATTTCCAGGAGGTGCTATGAAAGAAATTCTAAACTTGCACCTCTCATCCTCACTTCCAGCAGGCAGGAGTGATAATAATGTGACTATCTCAAAAAGCTGCACCAGGAGATCATAGCATTTTGTTTTCCTAGGTGAGGAAGCTGCCTCAGCTGGAGTGAGAAGATAGTCACAGGGGGCTGATAAAGGGGTTGGTGTGTGTACAAATGCAGAGAAATATTAGCACACCTGAATTTTCATATCTTCCCATGCAGTGATACCAGTCTCTGTGAGGGAAGGAAGAGGCGTATGAGCTTCGTTAATTAAGATCAGCAGCAGATCTCTAGGTCAACATCTTATACAGGTCAGGCATACGCACCCTTTGTGATAGACTCAGCTAATTTCATAAAGTTCCCCTTTCCAGGACAGTCATGTAATCCAATGTCCTGGGCCAGGTATCTCTGCAGCTGCTTGATCTTTGCAGATCCATGGAAACTTCTCTCTTCTTTATTTGCCTTGCATCAGGAAAATTGCAAAGGCTGCTGGTTTCCCTTCAAATCTTAGCCTGTCTTAGCATCTCCTTCCCGGTTGATCAAGGAAGTCGGGAAAGTATGTTAGTCATGAAACAATGTCCCTGCTCAGCACTGTCTCATCTCTGTTCTGGGAAAGGGGGATTGGGTTTTCCCAATAGGAGAAATAGGAGCTGGGAAATCGTTCTTCAGATGATTACCATCTCATTCACAGTATGCTGGAAATTGAGTCTCAGGAGACCTTAAGGACAGAACTACTTCTGTGTCCAGTACCTCTTTTTTTTTGCAGCTTGAAGCCTTTGTTCCTGAGAGCTGCTGATGGGGAGGGTTGTCTCTCTCCCATGTGACTTTTTCACTATGGTTCTGTGGGAGAGAGCAGGAATGCTCCATCCACATAGGAGAGGATTAAAAAGGAACTGAAATAGTACATTTCTTTATAGCCTCTTACTACCAGATGAAGCACAAACCAGCATGTCTGACAACTGTCTGGGACCAAACCCTGAACACAAGCTTATGCTCTAAGACAGATAAAGGAGTGAAAGGTAGACCTCCAGAGCAAATGCTGAGTTAACTTTTTTTTCTGTGATGCATATTCATGTTTTGGATTTATGATGTTATAGGAAGGCAATGGAATTAAGCTAGATGCTGCTACTCTGCCTTGGAGCCTGTTTGGGTATCCTGAGTGGATCAGGGTATCTGAGAAATATGAATGGGGCATCAGTAAATACCCACCCGTGGGAGGGAGGCTACTTGGACAGTAGGTTCCCCCTCTCATGTACTGACAGTAGCTGAGCCTAGGGAGCTATTGTTGTACTAGTCCTGTAAACTGACTTGACAGTATGGACAGTAGGTGGCAGATGGGGCTTTGCTGATCAGAGTGACTCTGCTTTTTGTGTGAGTGCCCCAACAAGCTCTCAGAAGTATTCCTTAGGTGATAAGGTTGGGCATACAATTTCACAATGTGCTGTTTTAGTATGAGGCCTTGATCTCTGGCACAATGGGTGGTTTGTCTCTGGCAGGCGCAGCAAACCATAAGGCAGGTCTTATGTGGTATTTTGAAGCTTGGTGTTAGACGCAGTGTAACAACTGAAATAGTATTCAGAGAGCTGCTCACTGTCCTTTCTCTTAACAGGTGTGGGGGTATATGCTGTTGTAAAGGCACCTGGAGGAGTCTGGAGCAATGCCACCACCTTCGGACATTGTGAAAGTAGCTGTTGAGTGGCCAGGTGCCAATGCCCAGCTGCTGGAAATAGATCAGGTGAGACCTGGTAAGCAGATGGGGGAGGAGATACACAACAACCTTGCTACTGGAATATGGGAAGCACAGAGATGGGCAGCATTCCTTTATGGTTGAGAGAAACGTGGCTACTAAGGACTCTCTCTTTCTTTTCTAGAAGAGGCCTCTTGCATCCATCATCAAGGAGGTCTGTGATGGGTGAGTGGTTCCCTGGGAACCCTTGTGGAGAAAGTCTGTCTCCCTGACAAATCTTACTGGGGTACTGTGGAAAGTCTCTGCTGCTTGTCAGTGTGCTGCTAGCATGATCCATGCTGCCTGCTGCCAGTTTGGGCCATGGAATGGGCCGGGGTTTAAATTGTGAAGAAAAAGATCTGAAAAAACAGGGGCTTTGTATCTTTAATCCAATTCTGAGTGTGTGCATGTGTATGCCCCTAGATTCTGTGTCTCTGAAGATTGGCCCATTTTGCTGTTCCTGAAGCACAGGCGTCTTCAGACATTCCACAGAGCTTGACTTAGAGTAGGCTGAAGTCCCATCCCTCCTTCAAGGGGAAGGTGTTTTCTCTCTTCTTTGAGAGACCTAATTTCCTATGCTAAAGCTTTGCTCGAAAGTTCTTTTTCACCCTCTTGGGATCAAGCTCCTGTTCCTAACTGAGAGCCAGAAAAAAGAGGAGGACGAAGCTTATGTATTCTTCTTCTTCCTCTGCCAGGTGGTCGTTGCCAAACCCTGAATACTACACCTTGCGGTATGCTGATGGTCCTCAGCTGTACATCACAGAACAGGTCAGTGTGAGACTTGGCAATTTGCTGATGTCCTGGGCAAGAGTGTAGAATGCCTTTGGACTTGTGTCATGAAACAATACTGTCACTAATCCTTGAGGGGCAGCATCTGTGCTATCAAAAATACTCAGACTTGAATGGTATCATTCAACTGAGGAGCCTTGCACTTCTCCCTTTGCATGCTCATAGGTGTGAGGACTCGGTGATGCAACTCAATACCCTCGGTAGGGTTGTGTGATATAGGAACCCGTTTACTTGTGCATACAAATGTGCACTGTAGATCCAGTTGCATTCTTTCCCACCCCACTTTTCTGCAGTTTAAGGTTTATGTTTTCTTTCAGACTCGCTGTGACATCAAGAATGGAACTATCCTACAGCTGGCAGTCTCCCCGGTAAACGCTTCGTCACATCCCTTTTTATGAGTAGCTATCCTTGTATGGCAGGCTGTTTTTTGCTTCTCAGCTTTTCTTTCTCCTTCTCCCCAAATTGTAGGGGGCTTACCTTCATTGTGGGCCATTCTGCACAATGAGGCACACTCTAGTTTTCCTCCCTGGTTCTGGTGTGTATCTTTCATTTGGATGCTCTGCCCTGCTGTAGGACTTTCTGTAAATAAATCCAGTCCACATTTTTATTGCATCTCCTAGATTAGCGTAGAATCATAGAATGATTTGGATTGGAAAGGACCTTAAAGATCATCTAGTTCCAACTCCCCTGCCGTGGGCCAGGACACCTTCCACTAGACCAGGTTGCTTAAAGCCCCGTCCAACCTGGCCTTGAACCCTTCCAGGGAGGGGGCAGCCACAGCTTCTCTGGGCAGCCTGTGCCGGTGCCTCACAGCATGTTGTAAAACACCTGATGGATGCATTCTCAATATGAGTGCAGTTAGTATTTTCGGTCGGAAAGCAACAGTACAGGTGACTTAATGCAGAAGTTAAAATAAGAGACAAATTTGATTCAGAGGGAGTTGTTCCTAGTGAATTCTTGCTTTTGTGACCTCAACAGTTGTCTTTTGCAGACTTGATGCAGCTTCCTTTTTATTGAAAATCTTAAACCTTTTTTTGTGCGAGTGACATGGCATATAGCTGAGAGTGAGTAGAACAGGAAGACGTTATTTGGGCAAGAGGTGTTTGAGGACAACATTGATCTATGTCTGAGGAATCTTACAGAATGTTGTGTGGATACAGAAAATGAGCTTGTGCTTCTCTTTCAATCTACGAGATATTTTTTTTTTTAACATTGTATTTCTTTAATGGTCTCACTCTATATTTCTATATCTACCTCCACTCACCTCATCAAGAAGAAAAACAAGTATTTAACATGTACCATAGCGTTTTACTCGCCTCCTGCTTGGCTGTAACTGTTGCTGAGTGGAGCCTTTTTTTAGTCTGCCTTAGACTAGCTGACTGCTGCTACTTATACTGTCATTGCTGGTTATGTCTCTACCCTTGCCATGCTCTCTGTGCCCATCCCTGGACTTCTGGCAGAATGCTGATGCTGGCAGAACTTGGTCTGCAGATGACTAGTCTGTAACTGCCATCATCCCTCTTTCATCCCAGTCTAGGGCAGCTCGCCAGCTGATGGAGAGGATCCAGTCACACAGTATGGAAGCCCGACTGGATGCCATGAAGGAACTGGCTAAACTTTCAGCAGATGTGACCTTTGCCACAGAGTTCATCAACATGGAAGGGATTACAGTGCTGACACGGCTTGTGGAGAGTGGGACCAAGCTCCTGTCCCAGTAAGTTTCCTGTATTCTAGGACTCTGAAATAGGGCCTCAAATAAGGGGCTAATTTTGCTTGCTGAAGTGGCATTAAGCAACTAACCTCATAGGAAATGCCAATCTATTAATTGAGACAAAGTCTTTCTAGTCATTTGCTTAACCACATGAGGCAAAAGAGGAGACATTTATGATGTGTGAAACTTGCATTGAAAGGTCACTTTGATAATTTAAATTACTTTTATTACCTTTCTTGTGGTCATCTCCTCAAGCAGTTATTCATCTGAAGTCTAAGGGAGAAGGTATCCTGTGAAAAACCCACATGCACACAAGAATATTCCTGTAGAACTGGTGGCATGAACGTGCCAGTCAGCAGCAAGCTTGTTGCTGGCTTTTGTATATGTGATCAGTACTGTTTGAGCAGCACGGTAAGAACAGTTGCTATAAAGGCCAAAGGTCTGTTTATCTTAGGGAATGGAAAAGGCTAGAGAGTGTATAGCAGAGAAAGTATCAGTCTTCAGTCTCCAACAGTTTTCAACGTTTGGGCTTTCTGAGCAGAAATTGTATCTCTCTGTTTTAAGTTTTGGATGTTTCTTCCATAGATTTTTCTTCTTAATTTTTTATTCAACTTATCCTTTTGACATTTACAGCACTGTGTGGAAGTTCCACAGTTACTTGTCCTATAAGAAAAAAAATACTTCCTTTATTCTAAACATGTGACCTAATATTCATTTGGTTCCCTCTACGTGTTTTGTTATGAGAAATTGTAGATTCTTCTGTCTTCTCTGTACTATTCATAACCATATAGATCTCTCTCATATCAATGCTTAGTCATGCCTTTTCTAACCTGCAGTCTCAGTCCGGTAACACTGTAACTGTGGCAGCCATTCCAGAGTGCTAATCATTCTTTCTATGTTTCCCCTAGCTCTTAGCTCTTTCCAGTACTACGGTGCTGTTGTGGGGAAATCTGTTTAACTTTTAATCAGTTTGAAACCCGACCATTTAATTTCTACGCTTTTGTTTGTCTTTCAGTCAGTTATTTTAATGCAGGAAAGGGCTTTTGTTTTTTACCCTTTAGCAGCTGAATGTTTTGTTTTTTTTAAGATGTTTTAGTGAAGCACATCATAATCCTCTTCAAAGGCCAAGAGTTGTGCTTAACTGTTCTCATTCTGACTTTACTGAAGGTCTCTGAACAAATCAGTTTGTGGTGGGTTAACCTCATCTGGCTGCTAGCTGTCCACCAAGCCACTCTTACTCCCCTTCCTCAACAGGATAAGGGAAGAAGACCAGATGAAAGGTCTTATGGGTTGGTCAAAACACACTCAACTTGGGGAAAATTAATTTATTGTTTTGCTAATTAAAAATAAGAGTAGGATGGTGAGGAACAAAGACAAAAGTAAAACCACCTTCCCTCCACCCCCTTCTTTCTGGGCTTGATTTTATTCCTTTCCTCCCAGCACCAAGATGCACAGGGAGATGGGAAATGCAGGTTGCAGACAATCCATAACACTTTATCTCTGCTGCTCCTTCCTCATCACACTTTTCCTCCGCTCTGGTGTGGGGTCCCTCTCATGGGATACAGCCCTTCACAAACTGTTCAGTGTGGTTCCCCCACAAGGCACAGCCCATCAGGAACAGACTGCTCTAGCATGGGTCCCTTGTGGGCCACAGTTCCTGCCAGAGAACCTGCTCCTGCATGGGCTTCTCTTGATGGGCCGCAGCTCCTGCTAGGAGCCTGCTCCAGCACAGACTGCCTGTGGGCTGCAGCTTCCTTCAGGGCATCTCCACCTGCTGCGGCATGGAGTCCTCCACAGGCTGTGGTGTGACTATCTGCTCCACCGTGGCAGTCTGTGGGTAGCAGGGGACAACCTGCTTCACTGTGGTCTCCCCATGAGCCGCAGGGGAATCTCTGCTCCAACGCCTGGAGCACCTCCTCCCTCTCCTCCTTCACTGACCTCCAATGTCTGCAGGTTTGTTTCTCTCACATGTTTTTTGATTGCTCTCTCATAGCTGTTGTGTAGCATTTTTTCACCCTTTCTTAAATATGCTTCCACAGAAGTGCCACCAGCTTGGCTGACGGGCTCAGCTTTGGCCAGCGGTGGGTTCATCGCAGAGCTGTCTGGGACGAGATGTGTCTGGCATAGGGCATCTCCAGCCTCTCCTCACAGAGGCCACCCTGCAGTCCCCTGCTACCAAAACTTTGCCACATAAACCTTGTACACCTACAGATGTGAAACATAACTTCCCTCTACAAAAGCCATAGCAACTCTTCCCTGTTAAATATTTCTTTTTCTTCTAGTGGTACTATCCTTTTATGATAGATTCCCCCTATCTTTCTGGTTACAAATACCTAAGTGCCTGATAGGTCCTTCAGATTCCTGCCTGAGTCCTTTTTGAAAATTGGCATTATATTTGTCACTTTCTGCAGAACACAATAAGTAGTTTGGCAATGTTTCATTTTACTATGGTTCCTTTTGAATTCTTCAGTGAATATCATCTGATCCTGGAGATCTGTTCTTCATATTAATGGCTTGGTCCAGAATGTCTTCTAGTGATATTCAAATGACAGATTTGAAGACTTTTCTTCTCTCCTAAAAACAAAGAAAAAACAAACTGAAAAAACCCCAAACTCTGATTTGGCAGTTTCCCCGAGCACATTTCACAGTGAACTCGGATGCAAATAATTCACTTGGCTTTTCTGCTGTAGTTGTTCTGTTTTATTGAAAGCACTTTTGAAGTCTTGATAACTTAGTGCTGTAACATTTATAGGTCTTCTGTTTTCTCATATATTATCAACTAATATGTTTTCAGCATGTTTTGCAATTTTTCCTCAGTCTTTTTTACCTTTCTGTCTTGTGGTTATGTATTAAATTTTCCACAATTCATGCTGTGCTTTCATTTTGTTTCAAGCCAGGTCCCAATATTTACAGAATGACAATTCATTCTTCTTTGTTTGTCTCTGATGTTAAAACATATTTGTTTTGCGTGTGTGTGTGTAGGGAGATTATAATTTCCAAAGATTTTTGCATGTTTTGTGATATAAATTTACTCTAGAGCTGAAATCTGACAACAGTTGTAAAATCTAGTGTTTGCAGATGGTTCAAATTTTCAGTTGATCTGCTTAAAAATCTTTCCCCTTCACAAGTATTTTTTTTTTCAACTGATGGTCATTGTACTGAATATTCTGGGTTTTGCTGGTTTTTGGCTGTGTTTGGGTTTCTTTCCTCTTATGAAAGTGCTGCATTTGAGCAGTGATACTTTGCAGTGCTCAGGAATAAATACTGCATTGCTGCTTCTCCTCTTACTCCTTTGACTAGTCGGATCCTGATCCAGGTGGTTGTGAGTGCCTGATGGCAGGACTAGAGGCTTTTTTTTGCTGGTTTTAATTTGTGCTTGTAATCAGAAAAAATAAAATATGATTCTACAAAGCATTAAAATTATCTTCATAAATTCATATACTTTCTTGTTTCCCCTGCTGCCAAACTGTAGCCTGTTTTATTAGGAGAAGCTGGTGACATTTTCTTCTTACCCAGCTTATTCAGCTTGGAAAGGCTTTTTCCTTGCTACCAGGTCTCTTGTAACTGCATCCTTCATTTCCTCAGTTACAGTGAGATGTTGGCTTTCACCCTGACTGCCTTCTTGGAGCTCATGGACCATGGTATCGTGTCTTGGGACATGGTCTCAATAACCTTCATCAAACAGGTGAGTTTGGGTAAAGGGGGTGAGTGGATGCTATTTCTTTTCATGCTTTAATGCAGCTTCCGGGAAGGGCAAGATGAGTCTGAGAAGCTGAGTACTCATTGAGAGCACAGTATACCCAGATTTCTGAGCTCTGTCTCCCTTAGTTTGTCTCACTCACCACAAGGTTTCGTGGATGGGCATCTGTTGACCTGTAGGTTCATCTGTTTTTAGATTGCAGGATATGTGAGTCAGCCTATGGTAGATGTCTCCATCCTCCAACGATCCCTAGCCATTCTAGAAAGCATGGTGCTAAACAGTCAGACTCTGTATCAGAAGATAGCAGAAGAGATCACCGTGGGGCAACTAATTTCTCATCTGCAAGTGTGAGTGTCCACCCAACGGTGGTGTGATTTAAATCAATTTTATGAATATCTGTTAATTTGAAAATACATCCTTTTATGTTTATAACACTTAAAGATGCTATTTTTAAAGTATTACTGATATGACATCTTACTTGAACTTTAGGATTTCTAACGTATTTTTTAAAAAAATAGGATTCTGGAAAAATGTGTTCTGGAAACACTTAAGCATGTGAGTATATGTCTTGAACAAAGATATTTTGCTTTAACAACTGTACAAGTGTGTTCAGTGTTAGGACCAAACTTGCATTTTACTAAAACAGCTTCCCAAAGCTTCTGCATCCAGCCATCTGTCACCTTCTCCCCTCTTTAAATTGTCTCCACTAGAATCTAAGAGCTCATCATCTTCTGGTTTTTGTCCTGCCTATTAGGAAGAAAACAATGCTTTTCTTGCTTTTTTCCCCACCTCCCTTTCCTCTTTTTCCAAATGAACTGACAAATGAATATCTGGCTTTTAAAGCTGTTTGTCTAGGTCAGTTCTACTCTTCCATAAGAAAAAGAAGCATGCGCTTGTTAGAGCTTCAAGTAAGCTGTTTGTTTTGGGTTTTTTTTTTTCTCAAGCCTTTTAATTCTGAAAATGTGGAAAACCACCATTTGTGAATATGATTAATATTCCTTAATTGACGAATAGTTGTTTAACAAAATTACAGTGTAAACAACGTATTGCATCAGTGTCACTGTGTGCTTACAGTGCTTACACATTTCAACTTGGTTAACAGAAAAACTAAACAAGTTTTCATTAACACCGCAGCAACTTTGTTCTGCAAAGAGTATGTGTTCTTTCAGCTTTATAATTTCTATCTTAGTAAAACACAGTTTTGGTCCTAACACTGGACACGCTTGTGCAGTTGTTAAAGCAAAGTATCTTTTGTTCAAGACATACTCATGTGCTTAAGTGCTTCCAGAACACAGAAGGTTGAAGAAGGTATCTATGCAAGGAATATTGTAGAAGGGGAGACTGGAGAGTAAGCCAGAACTTGCTGGTGTGTGTTTGACAAGACTATCATGAGGGAAAAGTCTTTAACAGAGGATAGGTTCTGGAAGAACTGGACCATGGAAACAGGTCTGAAAGAGAGAAGTTAGAAGAGGAGAAATTATTTTAAAAATTGCTTTGCTGTGTCAAAAAGCAAGCAATGTGGTGAAAAGAGCAGCAAACCCTGAAAAGGAGGGCACAATAGGTAAAGTTGCAGACTTCAGAGACCTGCAAATCTTGGAGGCCCAAGGAAAACCTGGGATGATGCGTGAACATTTGCATGTTTGAAATATGGCAGATTGACCAAAATGAAGAAGATTTGGAAAGGAACAATACAAGAGAGAATGTGGTTGTTATCCACAGATATGCCAGGGATAAGTGCCAAAGTGGTGAAAATAGCTATTTAAGCTAAAAGATGTTTTAGCTTTAGGCATTTTATAAAAGTCTAATTAAAAAAAAGTTTTTATACACACACACATATATATATATATATATATATATACACACACAAGTATACACACAAATTCATGTAGGTGATGCGATGGACTTCTGTTAATCAGAATTGCTTGAAATTCTGCAGAAGTGTCCCAAGAGTATATTGGGTCTGACTGAGGTGCAGTTAATTTTCCCCATAGAAGCCCGCATAATGCTGTGTTCTGTATTGGTAGCTAGAAAGGTGTTGATAACACCAGTGCTTACACAGCATTAAGGCTGTCTCTCCAGCATTTCCCCTCACTAGTAGGCTGGGGGTGAGCAAGATCTTGGGAGGGGACATAGCCAGGACAGCTGACCCAAACTGACCAAAGTGATATTCTAGACTGTAGGACATCTGCTCAGCAATAAAAGCTAAGGTGGGGGGGAGGAGGCCGCGTGCATTTGTTACTACAATGTTTGTCTTCCGGAGCAACTGCTGTGAAGCCTTACTTCCTGGGAAGTGGTTGGACATCACCTGCTGATGGGAAGTAGAGAATAAATCTTTTGTTTTCCTTTGCTTCTGCGTGCAGGCTTTGCCTGTGCTTTATTAAACTACCTTTATCTTGACCCATGAGGTTTTTTCCATCTTATTTTCTCCCCTGCCTTGTCCTGCTGAGGAGGGGAGTGATAGAGCAGCTTGGTGGGCACCTGGCATCCAGCCAAGATCAAGCTGCCACAAAGAGTAATAGTGTAGTAAAAAAACAAAACTGGATTTGATAGAGCATCAAAACGGGGGTGGAAAGGAGTGTGATTGGCATTTGGAAGCTTATTGAAAACATGACAAGTGAAACAATACACTCTGTGTGATCCAGTAAGGGACTAAGCACTCTTTACCTGAAGCTCTTCAGTGACAATAAGAAAAAGATGTGTGGATTGGGCCAAACTATTGAGGTTGGAAGGCAGTGCCATAAAGAGATGCATGCTCCCCGCTTAGTTCCATTTGTGTTTGGTGGCTTTCATTGGCACAGGGGAGAAAAATTACTTGTTCTGTACAAGTCTCTAGCTGTATCCATGTAACAGACTGCAGTTTAACTAGGCTTTACAGAGATTGTTTCAGCACTGGAAACTGGTAGTGCTGAACTGTGAGCTCTGTTGGGCTGCAATCTGCACTATCCCCTGAATAATGGAGCTATCAAGTCAGCAATTTTTGTCAGCTTTTTGCAAGCCTTATGAAGAGTTAGATGGCATGAAAGTAGATTACCTGAATCCTGCTTGTCCATTGAAATGGAAGCTATCTGTAGTAAATGTTCTTAGGCACAGGCAAAGCAGCAAGCTGTAATGTTCTATACTGTCTGCTCTCTTATGATCCTCCCATTTTTGTTTCTTCAGCTCAAACCAAGAGATTCAGACATATGCCATTGCCCTGATCAATGCCCTCTTCCTGAAGGCACCAGAGGACAAGAGACAGGTTTGGTTTTGCTTTTTGGCTTTAAACCTGAATAATGGTTACTGGTTGGCTGTTTACTTTATGCCTCAGAAATCATATTGTCTGGGAAAGGTAGACCTCAGACTTTGGCAAGAATTTACGTAGCTGTTTCAGTGTGGCAACACTGAAAGAGTACCATGCCGTTAATGATCTGTTCTGGAGCAGCACATCTATGTTTGGGAGATGCTCAGGAAGGAATTTGAAATGCCTTGAGAGACAAAGTAATCTCTATACAGCATGGAAATTTTTTTGAAGACAGTTAATTCTGTATAGGGGAGGTAAGCTGGGTAGAGTCCTCGGGGTTGTATGTACTTACTAAACATATACCTGACCTACCCCTCCTACAAAAAAGGGACCTTTCTTAAGTCATAGGGGGATATTCCTACTGGCAAATGTGAGAAATGAAACACCTGTCCTGATCAGAGGAAAACCCCAATATCTCACATACGTGCAAGATGTGCATATGTCTGTATTGTGTAGCTTTGCTGTGTTGAGCCTTTCTTCTCTAGTGCCCCATTTTGTGCCTTATTTCTGGACTCCGAGCTAAATCCTGTCTGCTTCTCTTTGTGCCTTTTTTTGCTTTCTGCCAGCAGGACAAGCTGCTTAACCCACTAGACCTGCCCATCACTGTAAGTAACTCAAGCCTGGGGGCTGGTCATGCGAAACTGTAGGCTTGTTAGCTTTTCTCTACATATGCTTCATTGTATCTCAGAGATGATGCGTAGAGGCTTCAGGTAGTGGATGAGCCTAGGGAAAAGGGCGGGAGGGCTCCTGGGAATATACTCAGATTGCCAAAGGGAGAAGAGTCAGTAGTAGGAGAAATCCTAAATGATTTACTGTGCACACAACATAATAAAGATGACAGTGAAAGGAAACTGGTACTACCAGACTGATCAGGTGAACCAATTTTAAAACTGGAACCAGTTCTTTAGCAGTCTGGGTCTCCTTAAACTTACTACAGCCTGACTTTATACCCCAAATCTCGCCTGCATTAATGACAGTTCCATATCCAGCTGTGTCCTTCTAAAGGTAGAGCTGTCTGTGAAGAGCAGTCACAAAACTCATTGCTGATTGGGGTCTAGAGCATACATTCTGCCTAATCTGTGACTTCTCCATTATGGGAATTGTACTATAAGGATGTTTTTTGCCCCATGCTATCTGCAGGGGAATCACCACTCTTGTTAATAGGTTGATTTGGAACTTTCTGTAGCTTGAGATTCTGGTACCTTTTTTTAGATTTTCTGGGTGGCCCAGAGAATAATCCACTTTTGCCAAGGATGCAGTGCCTTCAGCGGGGAAACTATGGTCTCAATAAATGTTATATAATTTCTGAAATTAATCTATATGCTTAACACATGAAAATAAGGAAGAACATACTCCTCTGTTGGTAATTTGGCCAAGATACTAAACTTCATAGCAAACAAAATTCCAAGGGTTCTTTCACTTTTTTCCTTTTTTTTTTTTCTTTTTTCCTCCTTCCCTCCCTCCCTCCCTCCTCCCCTCTTTTCTTTTTTATTTTCCTTGAACACAACCCACATGACCACAAAGGGCCATGAAGATAATGGAAGGGAATGAAAAAGAGGTAGCCTAACTCTTCTCAGTGGTGCCTGCTGGCAGGACAAGAGGCAATGGACACAGCTTAATACCCAGGAAATTCTACCTGAACACACAACTTAAACAAACAAACAAAAAAATACGAGGGTGGTCAAACACTGGAACAGGTTACCCAGAGAGACTGTGGAGTCTCCATCGGTGGAGATATTAAAAACCTGACTGGACACAGTCCTGTGTGACTTGCTCTGTCTGATGTTGCTTGAACCAGGGGAGTTGGACTAGATGATCTCAGGATGTCTCTTCTAACATAAAAGATTCTGTGATTCGGTGACCACATCAAGCAGCAAAGTGGACATTATTGGACTCTCAGTAGAACATAGATCCCTTAGCAGTGGTTAGACTATGTGTGTGCTCGTGCTTCTCACTATGCTATTTAGAATTGTTTAATTGTCTTTGTCCTTCACACTGTTTATCTGCTTCAGTCACCTGTTACTTCATCCCAAGTACAAACTAATTAATTCACAGTGAGGATTCTTTGTATTGCATGCATGAAAAAGTGCTAACAGCAGGCCTTGTTCTAGTCTCAGTGCTATGTCTCAGGAATCATAGTAAAAAATAATGGCTCAGAGGGCAGTGTGTTATGTCTGAAACCACTTCCTACTTGATGTAGATGCTGCTTAGATATTTTCCACTCAAGCACTGACTCATTTTGGTTGTAACGTGAGCACTGCTGAACTTTCAGCCAACGTGGCTTGGCTATCAGCCAGCCCATCACTTACTTGTTTTAGGAGGTTTGTCTGACGCAAAAGTGATAATAGGGACTTGGAATGAGGTTAATATATACGTTTTACCAGACTCCTTATAAAGCCTGTCGAGAGCAGGGTTGATATGAGCAGTTGGAACAGCCTTGGATTGCTCAGAATGTACAGCTTTTGAGTGCTATTGTCTAAGACTGCACATCTGCTTCAAATTCCCAATCTGCCCTGCATAGGAATGCGAAGAGATCTCAGACTGGCAGTTCTTTTGGACTTCTTCCAGATGACGTACTGCCCAACAGAATATTCCTACCCAAAGATTTTGCTTATAACAGCAAACTTATGATAATATTCCATCTTGACATTACCACTTGTGCCACTTTCCTAGCAGGTGTAATGAGATCGCTGGTATTTTTAAAAGTGCATCTTCACAATTTACAAGGAAAGCACAGGTTAGATTTTTGCAGGTGCATGTGTAATTGGTCCTCAAACTAAATGCTTGCAGCAGATACTTGCATCTGCTGTGACTGTTTTGTCATCATGACTTGATGGTTGGGAAGCCCTGATCTGGGGAAGAAAGCCATGCGGTAAAGAGGGAAACTGGAAGCTTTCCTTTAAGCTTGAAAATTATTTACCTTTTATTTTTGTAAACTGAAGTGCTTCTGCACATTTTTCTTAAACTGACTTCTAAACATCTCTTTAGGAACTGAGACAAAGGAAATGTAAATTTAGGAGGGAGAGTTTTTGAGAGGGAGGAGACCCGAAAACTACATCCTTTAGCCCTTGTTATCTTGAGTGTATGTCTAGGTATAGAAAATTGTGAAATGTTAATTGAAGGAACCTCTTGTAGATGACAGATTTTTCTGGGCAACCCACAGTATGCTCCCTGATGCCCTATCTCCTGATACTGAAGTATTATTAGATGTCTAATGTTAAGCTAAATTTTCTTCTGTTCTTTGACTATGCTAGTGCTTTTCTCCCCGTTAATGACATCTTGTAGGGGAGCCATCCATGAGTTGTGCCTTTGTAGATGTCCCTTGCATCCCAACTTGATGCTTGCTTTGTGGTGAGATGCCATGCTAAATTGACAGTCTATAGTAAAAGCACTTCACTGTGTGCTAGTGCTATCTTCAGTTCATAGGCTTCTTTCTTTCTCTCCTTTCTGCACAATGTGCTTTTTGTTTATATTTCACTCATGTTATTTCATCTCTAAATTCCACAACAGGAAATGGCTAATGCATTTGCCCAGAAGCACCTGAGGTCTATAATCCTGAATGTAAGTATGTCTGGAATGACAGAGTGCTTCCTAATGTTCTCTTAATAGAGGTTTCACTTGTGCAGAGTGTAAATTCTGCTGCCCTCAGGGCATTTCCAGAAAAGTGACTCTTTCAGAGATGAAATTGGAGCCACTTGTTCAAAAGGGAGTGATCAGGATGCTTCTTTCTGCTGTTACAGAGCATTATCATTATGTTTCTGATGGAATATGGAGGTTAAACAGCTGAATCTTCGTATACAGAGATGTACATGCAGCCTGGCATATGCATACAGCTAAGACCTCGTTTTTTATTTATATTCTCTTCATTTCTACCTTATCCTTTCTTTTTCAGCATGTGATCAGAGGAAACCGCCCTATTAAAACAGAAATGGCACATCAGCTGTATGTGCTACAGGTCCTGACCTTTAATCTCCTGGAAGAAAGAATGATGACCAAGATGGATCCCAATGATCAGGTCGCTATTAGAGCTGAGTAAGATCTGATAGAATAGAACGTATAAGGGGCCTTATTCCTGAACTTCTCAGCTCGATACAGTTTGTAGTAGATGGTGCATAAAGTTTCAAACCCACCCCTCACATTGTAGTCCTTGAGATTAGGGTGTGCTCATGACTACCCTGCTGTATGCTATGGGACTTCTAGAGATTTAAGTGGTCACTGGAAGCCACATATTCATTTATTGACCAGTGTGATGCAAGCTGTCAAACTGATTACTCCATCTCTATGGAGGGCATGTCACTTTATCAGTTCCCTTGCAGTATACAAGGAAGCTTGGCATTTTTAAGGTGTCTGTTACGCAGTTGTTAGATGCATTGTAGTCTCCAATGAGTAATGCCTTAGCATTATCTGAATGCATAGAAGTTGCCTTTAACTAAACTTAGGGCATTTAAAGGAAAATGCAAACAAATATTTTGCATTACCCGGTATACTGAAACTTGCCATTTTGAAATGGATCACCTCTTCTTACACAGTGCTAATAACTTTTGGCATCTTTCCGTATTCACTGTGTAAGCCTTGGTGAGAGAGGTGGGACTGTGCATTGTGTGAAAATACTGCCCTAGTGATTGATCACGTTACCATTTCTCTACTTTCTGTCTTTCAGGCACAGAGAGATATCATATTTGAGTTGAGAAGAATTGCATTTGATGCAGAGTCTGACAGCAACACTGTCCCTGGCAGTGGAACAGAAAAACGCAAAGCCATGTACACCAAGGACTACAAGATGCTGGGATTCACTGTATGCATCTAGAGATAGTGCTGACTGTAAATCATGCAAAGGCACTCTAAGCAATCTCCATCAGTGCTGTGGGGAAATAAGGAATGGAAAAAGCCGTTTGCTTTACCATACTTTTGTATCTGAGTTTTAGAAATTCAGCTACACTGACTCCCAAGGAGGATCATTATGAACTTGCTGATTGGTTAAATGCTAGGTCTCATTAGGCACATTCTCTGGAGATACTTACTTACCATACACACCCATTCTATGAAGAACTTGGAATCAGCCTGTCTTCTAGAAAGTTTGAATAACATTGTCAGCAAGTATCCAAGGTTACCTCTTGGATAGATGCTAGGGAGGTGCTTGATGGACACGCAGTTGTAAAATACATTCAGAAAAGGTTCTCACACAATTTTTTTGAGCTAATTTGTTTGGGTTCTTTCTACACACTCTTTTCACAGAATCACATAAATCCAGCCATGGATTTTACTCAGACTCCTCCAGGGATGTTGGCATTAGACAACATGCTCTACTTGGCCAAATTTCATCAGGACACCTATATCAGGGTAAGCAAAGCTGCTGTTTTTTTGCAGATACCAACACCTCAGCAGCTCTTCTTAGTGTGTGTTGCATCCTCCTCTTCTAGATTGTTCTGGAGAACAGCAGTCGAGAAGATAAGCATGAGTGTCCCTTTGGGCGCAGTGCCATTGAGCTTACCAGGATGCTTTGTGAGATCCTGCAAGTTGGGGAACTCCGTAAGTACCATTTATTACCCCAGCTTTCCAAGTTGCTGGTCTGATACTTCTGGAAGTAGCTTACAGGCTGACAGTGACACAAGCATTTCTAACTTGATCTCACTTCTGCCACGTAAGGACAGCGGGCGCTTGCAGTTGCAGTGTCAGTGCCTCACTGATAATACCAGCATCAAAGTAAAGTAAGACATTTTGTTGTGTGCACTCTGGTTCTCCTGAAAAACTGACACAAGTGGAAGGCTGCAACTTCCTGAAGCTTCAGCAGGGTGCAATATAAAAAAAAAATAACACTTTAGAAACCATTATGAACTTGAGAAAAGTTTAGTAGTTCTGCCAGTCTCAAAACAGCATTCGGAGACAATCAGTATAAGAAATTCTACCAGAGGAAAGTAGGAAACAACTGCAAGCAGTTATTTGGGGGGACTGGTACGAAAAGGTCACACGAGTCAGAGGCTTGCATGGTAAAGCATGAGGATAGTTGCCATTCCCAATATAGACTGTCTGTGGGGAGATGAAGCATTGAATGGTCTTAATCTCTTTGAGTTAGTACTATTGTACACCATCAGATTTCTGTCACTGTAGTGGATTTTAAGTTACTCTTAGTAGGTCTTGTACAATATGCTGAAATGGTTGTGGTTTCTGTTTCTTCCTGAAGCCAATGAAGGCCGGAATGACTATCACCCCATGTTTTTTACCCATGACCGTGCATTTGAGGAACTTTTTGCCATCTGCATCCAGCTGTTGAACAAGACTTGGAAAGAAATGAGGGCAACAGCAGAAGATTTTAATAAGGTCAGAGTGGAGAAGAGGTGTTTTTGTAGAATCTTTTGAAGAACAGTGCGTGTTCACTCAGCCTATACACTTGGCTAAAGAGTAGGGCCATAGAAGGTATGACAAGGCATTGATGTGGGCTGTAAGGGAGAATGGACCAACTTGTATTTGGTATGATCTGAGGTCATTCATTGTTCTTCTGGATCTTCAAAGTCACTAGTATATCGATGCTGCTGGCCCTAGTTATTCCATGTCAGTTCTTTGCTGCCACTGAGCTGTGCCCTGGTTCTCTGCTGCCATTAAGCAGCAAGAATGTGACTTGCTTTTCTCCCTGCCCAACCTTTTTAGGTTATGCAGGTTGTGAGGGAACAGATCACACGGGCTCTCCCCTCTAAACCAAACTCCTTGGATCAGTTCAAGAGCAAACTGCGCAGCCTGAGCTATTCTGAGATTCTGCGACTTCGCCAGTCTGAGAGAATGAGCCAAGATGACTTCCAGTCACCACCTATTGTGTAAGTGCCTAACAAAACCAATTGCCTTCTGTGCTTGCTGTTATCTCTATTTTCTGCTTACTCTTCTATATTTGATTGCCAGGGAGCTGAGAGAGAAAATCCAACCAGAGATCTTGGAGCTGATAAAGCAACAGCGCCTGAACAGGCTCTGTGAAGGAAGTAGCTTTCGAAAAATTGGAAATCGCAGAAGGCAAGGTAAGGTGACAGTGTCTACTGCATTTTTTCTTGTGAAGAACTGTAGGCAAATAAGATCTAATGGATTAATCAGCAAGTATGTTGACAAAAAGGAAAGCTGATTACCTGTACTGTTTATACTAGCCAGTAGTTTGGAATGGATCCAGATGTGCATTTCTAAGGATACAACCATCCCCTCATGAACAGGAAGCACTGCTGAGGAACTGGGGGAGTAGAAGTATTGGATGGGGAGACTATAATGTAGTGGCTGTAGGATCTTACATGAATGATATTGCTCAGTTTATTCTACTTCATGTGTATTCCAGAAAGATTTTGGTATTGTCGCCTGGCTCTTAATCACAAGGTGTTACACTATGGAGATCTGGAAGATAATGCCCAGGGGGAAGTGACCTTTGAATCTCTGCAGGAAAAAAGTAAGTCCCAGTTACTGCTCTAAGCACACTGTGTATGTTCTGTGCTCTGCGGTCTAGGGGCTGTTATGAGTACCATCCTATTGATGAGAGAGAAAGAGCTGTGGCTGAAGCCCTCTCTGACTGAGATGAGATCAACTTTTGGTCCTTGCCCAAATCCTTTGAGTCTTGGAATTGTTTGGTATTTCATATAACAGCCAACTATAGGGATGTGTTACTGGTAATGTGTTTTGGAAAACTGCAGTAATGAGCTACAAAACCAGGAACAATGCTCATTTGCAAAGACAAAACAAAGTTCTGTCTTTTCCTGGTTAGGATTTCTTGTTTGTGAGTTTTATTTTTTCACTGATAGTTCCAGTTGCAGACATCAAAGCCATTGTCACAGGGAAGGATTGTCCACACATGAAGGAGAAAAGTGCACTGAAACAGAACAAAGTAAGTGCTCCCTTTTTGCCTGTAATTAATATCCAGTGCTGTAAAGTTGAAGACTGTGAAAGCAAACAACAGGAGCAAACAGTCTTCCACACTGCAGGTGCATTGTTTACAAAACCCATTTCCTATCTGGGCCTTTTCCTCGTACTCATTTGTGATTGCTAGGTACTGTGAGCATAGTCTGGTTGTGCTATAGGGTATTCAGAGTTGCTCAGAATACTGATATGGGAAAGTGCGCTGAGCTGCAGCAAGGCAGCTTCTCTTGTTGGGTTAGCAGGCAGAAGGTGCTGTGATGTTTTGTTCAGTTGATGAGTGAAAGATTCTTTTCCATTCAGGAAGTGTTAGAATTGGCCTTCTCGATATTATACGATCCTGATGAGACCTTGAACTTCATTGCACCTAATAAATATGAGGTAAGAAACATAGCTGTTAAGCAGTAGAATATAAAGCAATTAACTTCAGAGGTTAAGAAGGATCAGTTGCTTCTCAGTAAAGGCTTGAGCAGGATGTCTCCCACAGGTTCATTTCTTAGAAAATGTTGCTGATGCTTAGTGTGAATCTTCCTTTTTTTTTGGTTTTTTTTTTTGTTTGTTTGTTTGTTTGTTTTTATTGAAAAACAAAAAAAAATCCTAATTTCCCTTACTCTGGACTGCTACCTTCTTTCCTCCTATGCAGTCAGTTGTTCCCTCTTCCCTATTCTACTAAGACACTGTGGCCTAAAATAGCTTTGCTTTTTCTGTTGTTATGCCACAATAGAAACTCTTGTCCCGCTCCTAGAGCTATGGGGTCACGCTTATGCCTAGGCTGCTACCTTCTGTTGGAAAGCTCCATGGGCACTGTGTTGGGGTTGGTTGGTTTTTGTTATTTTTTTCCCCCATAGGTTAACTCCCTGCAATGTTTCCTCTTTTGGAGCTGTATGGGAGTGTCTCTAATTGTTGCATGGATGGAAAGAGTGAACATAACCTATCATTTATGCCTGGAGTTGTGAATTACCCTTTTTCTCCACAGTACTGTATCTGGATTGATGGGCTTAATGCTCTCTTGGGGAAGGACATGTCCAGTGAGCTGACTAAAAGTGACCTGGACACACTGCTGAGCATGGAGATGAAGCTGAGGCTCCTGGACTTGGAGAACATCCAGATCCCCGAAGCACCGCCGCCCATCCCCAAGGAGCCGAGCAGCTACGACTTCGTCTACCACTACGGCTGAGGGGGCCGGAGCTTTACGGGCGGCCTGCGCGCGCGGCGTGCGGCCGGCGCTGTTGTCACTTGCACGGAGCCCGCACTGGGCGCTGCCGCCTGGTCTCCCGCGCCCGCTCGCGGCGGGGCCGCCGGCCTGCGGCGGCTGCTGCTGCGGCGGCTGCTGCTGCTGCTGCGGGCGGCGCGAAGCGAGGCGGGCCCGCGCGGCCGTCTCGGCGCCGCACGGCTTTTGTATGAGTCAATAATAACCAGTAGCGCCCCCTGGCTGCCGCCGCCTCTGCCTCTTTCCGCTCAGGCCCCGCCCTGCGCGGCAACGGCAACGGCACCGGCGCGCGCCCCGCCCACCTCAGGCGTCGTCTCTCCTCCCCCTTCGCGTCCCCCCCCCCCGCGACGTCACCGGCACCGCCCCCCTTCCCCTCCCGCCGCGGCCCCTCACCAGCGCCCCCCGCTCCCCGGCAGCCCTCGTCCCGTCGCCGGCGCAGCCCCCTCAGCGGGACCCCACTTCCCCCCGTCCCGGCGCTGGTGGCGGGCAGCCGGGGCGCATGGCGGCGGGGGCGGGCGGCGCGGCGTTGGGGCGGGCGGCGCTGGCGGCGCCGCTGGTGCTGCTCTACTACGGCTTCTCCATCGGCATCACCTTCTACAACAAGTGGCTCATGAAGGTGCGGGGCGGCGGGGCGGCGCGGGGCGGCGGCGGGCGGGCGGCGGCAGTGACGGCGGCTGTCGGTCCCGCAGAGCTTCCCCTTCCCGCTGCTCGTGACCCTGCTGCACCTCCTCCTCATCTTCGGCCTCTCGGCGCTCGCCCGCGCTCTGGCGCGCTGCCGGTCCGGGCGGCCGCGGGCGGCGCTCTCCTGGGCCGACTGCCTGCGCCGGGCGGCCCCCGCAGGTACTGCCGGCGCGGAGGGGCGCGGCGGCGGCGGCCGGGTGCCCTGCCGGCCGCGGGGGGGGCCGGGGCCGGGGCCGGGGCCGGGGCCGGGCGCGGCGGTGGGGACCGCTGCCGGGGCAGAGGAGCCAGAGCGGGGCGCTGAGCCGTTGTCGGAGGGTGCTCAGGCCGCGTTGGCCGTCGTGGCGCGCTCTCGAGCCTCTTCCGGAGCCACGTTTGACTGCGGCTCTCGGGCCGGGGTCCTGGGGTGGTCTTCAGGGTACCCCGGGGGTAGGCATGCTCCGGGGGGGAGCGGCGAGCACCGCTCCCGCGGGTGCCCAACGCTGCAGGCATCCCGTGCGTTTCCTTACCAGGTCCAGGGTGCGAATAGGTGTTACTTAAAGCTTCAGCTTTAGATGTGCTATCTTTATTGGTCTTAACAAAAACTAGTTAGGAGACGGAGAGGCCAAACTGAAGGTATTTTTCTGAAGGAACCACTGGCACATGAGAACATACAATGAGAATATTGTACAGTAACTCCATAAGTTGTAAGTTATTTTTTCATCTTAACACTGGTATTAAGCCATGCATTTATGTTATTTCAGGAGCTTTCTCTGGTTGGAACTTGGTCTTTATGATACAGAAGTTCATCATACATGACACACAAAACTGCTGTAGCTAAGACCAAGGAGTGAAGCTCCTACTCGGAGCACACAGGTCTAGGTATTTCAGTAATTTGGCTGCATCTTACATTGGTTCCGTCATCGTGATACTGTCTCCCACAGAACAGCATCTGGTCTAAGATCTCTGACAAGGTTTGCAGTACCTTACATAACATGCCCCATGGTTTCCTGAAAAATGCTTTCTCCACACCTGTAGCAATGCTATCTATCAGCACAGCACGCCACTGGATCAGTAAAACTGTTTCCTGTGATAAGAAGCTTATATACAACAGAGAATAGACTAACAAAAGCTGCACCAGGATTAAGGGTGTGTGCTGAGGATTGTTGCCACACTTGCTTTTTCAGGTTTCTTGCAGTGGCCTTCATACTTACATGTTATCATGCTCTGATAGATTCAAAAGACTGTGCATATCTGTGATGGCTTTCAGTCACAGGGAGGACAAGGGTTATTTTTGCACTTCTGTGTAGTGTATGTTCAGTAAGCGCAGTGCTGAGCCCAACTTAAATCACAGGGAACAGGACAGAAACATGAGGAGCTGAGGATATCTGAGCTCTGTTGGTACCGAAGAGTTAACCTGAGGAAGAGGTGGGGGTTTTTTTCAGGGTATGCTCTGCTCTCTATGTTTGTGGTCAAGTAGTAGAGTTTTGGTGTTTGGGTTTTTTTTTTATTTCATGGAAGACAGTTAACTTCAGGATTTTTCTCTTTGATTCTTTAGCTCTGTCAACTTCCTTGGATATTGGGCTGAGTAACTGGAGCTTCCTATACGTCACTGTCTCCCTGTGAGTACAAGCACCATCTTCCTTGGGAGCTCTCTGGTGGGGTTTAGAAGGTGCTTTGTCAGGGTCACTTTCTTGAAGGGGTGTATGGCTCAATGGGGTTGGCATGCAGGATCTGATAGCTTGCTGATAGCAGTGTAGAAGTGGGTGATCTGGTTCCTAATAGTACTTAGCTGGGAAGGACTACATTGGAGGACACTGACAGTGTATTTTGGTCCTTACAGCTACACGATGACCAAATCCTCTGCCATTCTCTTCATCCTGCTTTTTTCACTGATCTTCAAGCTGGAGGAAGTGGTAAGGGTCCCATACAATGCTTTAGGGACGGAGAAGGTTAGGCTCAGGGAAATAGACAGTACATGTACAACAAACATATAAGTAGAGGAAGAATGCAATTATGTGGATGAATCTGAAAGAAAGGAGGTGTTTGTCTCTGTTCAGCTCCAGGAGTCTGTAGTGATTCTGTGTTTGCTCTCATCCAGAGGGTGGCATTGCTGCTGGTCGTTCTGCTCATCGCTGGGGGGCTCTTCATGTTCACCTACAAGTCCACACAGTTCAATGCACAGGGGTTTGTGCTGGTGCTGTGTGCCTCTTTCCTTGGGGGTATTCGCTGGACTCTCACGCAGATACTTATGCAGAAGGCTGAACTGGGTATGTAGGGTGTTAGAAAGTGGGTGGTGTTGCTGGTGGTGGGGAGGGGAATACGGAGGTGGTAGCCCTTGCTGCAGAAACAAGACATCTTGTGTAAGGGACAGTGTTTGAAACCTGGGGCAGGGGTTATCTCTTGATGGGTAATGAAGGTGGCTTGGCATCTGCAGCAGCATGGGTGTGGGCATTACAAATAAGGTGTATGTCGACAAATGATGCTAATAAAGGCTATAGGAGCTATGTTATCCTCTGGCTTGTTGCTATCTGGTCTGTTACTGATTCTCCTCTTTCAGGGCTCCAGAACCCCATTGATATCATGTTTCACCTGCAGCCGCTCATGTTCCTGGGGCTCTTCCCACTCTTTGCGGTGTTTGAGGGTGCGTGAGTTAATTAGAGAAAGCAGGGATAGCTTTATAGAGTGGTTGGGGAGATTGTTTAGCAGTCTGTTGTTTGAGATGATTCATTTAGATAAGTGAACAGCTATGAACTTTACAAAGTAGTTAGAGACCTGGAATTATAAGGACCCAGATATACCTTATGCTGGCAGAACATTAAAGTGTGCATAGGAATAGTAGCCTGCCACACTTGTGGAATTAAGGGCTATGAAGAACAGGCTCCACATCTTCCTGATACTGGAATGTGAGCAGCCCACCCCAATCTTGTTGTGAGGAGTTCTGGGAGTTGGGAAGGGTACTCTGCTACTCACTGTCTTGTTCCTAGGCCTGCCTTTGTCCATATCAGAGAAGCTCTTCCATTTCCATGAAGCAGGAATGCTGTTCTCTCTGGTAGGGAAGCTGTTCTTGGGTGGAATTCTTGCCTTTGGTCTAGGCTTTTCTGAGTTCCTCTTGGTTTCCAGAACATCTAGCCTCACCCTTTCCATTGCTGGCATTTTTAAGGTAAGGCATGGTTCCTGTGCTAATACTAGAAGGCAAGTACTGAATCATCCCTAAGGCCTCATGTGGTGGGAACTTCCTTAGAGCCTTAGACATCATCTCCTGTTATTTTTGTTCTCCTTGCACAGGAGCTTGATGCTTTTCCTTGCGGTCTCTGCAGTGAAGTCCCTTGGTCCCTAACAGCAAGGGGCAGAGACTAGTGGCTGTTCTATAAAAATACCATTAAGGTCCAAAGTTTTGTAGGATCTGGGATAGACTAAAACACGTGGGCCTCATGAGCAATGAATGGTGCTAGAGGGAGGAGGGGTAAGAATGGCATGCTTTTGCATCAGACCTGGATATGACCACTGGTTTCAGCTATCTCTTTAACCTAGTTTGTCACATCCTCCCCTCCTTGGAGGAATCCAGCACATGTATTTTTGAGCTGAATGGTGACATGTGAAATTTGTCTGATCTGGAGGTCACAGGATTCCCATGTAACCAAGGCTATGCAGTCAGAAGACTTAAAATCCCACAACCCAGTTTTAACAGGTCATTCTGTTTCTAGAAACTTTTTAGAACTCTCTGCACATGGAAGAATGTGCTGATGGAAATTAGCAGCCTGGCATCTTGATCTAGGCTTGATCTGTAAAACGTCTCATGCATATCTCCTCAGATCCTGCCCTGCCATTTGTCATGTTTTTTTGTTTCCACAGGAAATCTGCATTTTATTCCTCGCCACACGTTTGCTGGGAGACCACCTCAGTCTCTTGAACTGGCTGGGCTTTGCTGTCTGTCTGTCAGGAATCTCCCTTCATGTCATTCTCAAAGCCATGAATTCCAAAGGTGATTCTGTTTTAAATCCCTTTCTGTTTCTCTGTAGGCATTCTTGTAGCTTCACTAGGAGCTGTGTCAAGCTTCTTGCCGACGCCAGGTTTGATCGTTATTCTAGCAAGTTTGTCACTAAATGGGCTGTCTGCATGCAGGTGAAAAAGCCCTGAAGCTACACAAAGAAGCCAGCTCCGAACCTGACCTGGAGCTGCTGCTGCGCCACACTGAACATGGTGGGGAGGAGGAAGAGGACGTTGAAACCCCACAACAACACTGACTGAACATGAAGCATAAAGTCCCCTGCTCAATTCTTACCAAACCTGCCTGACAGCTATCTAGGAGGAAGGTCCAAGAGTCTCTGTGACCACCCAAAGGAGAGCCAGGGCCTGGTGAGAGAGTCCTGCTGTTCTACTACAGTGTGGATCTGTAGATGCTGCACAAGAAACAGGCAATATCCCTTTCACAGAAAGCAAACTTGGAAGATGAGCCCTGGTTCAGTGGAAGTAGAATGGCATGGTGAGACTGGGAAATGCTATAGAAATCTTATTACAGAGTCCTGAAGGCTGTATCTTGAAAGTGTAGACCATGAGCTGT